TATATATACATATATATATGTATATGTGTGTGTGTGTGTGTGTATATACACACACACACACATATATATATATATATATATATATATATATATATATATTAGCGCTGTCAAAATTAACGCGTTAACGCATGCGATTAATTTTAAATAATTAACGCGTTAAAAAAATTGACGCAATTAACGCAGTTCAGGTTTTTTTTACTTCCTGTTGTGGTGGACGTGTCTTCAACATGCAAGAAATGTGGATAAGACCAAGGAAGCACTTTTTGAAGGCAAGTTCCAGTATAAAACAATTAGTTGCATCACAAGTTATCCAGAGTTTCATGCAATTTCGGGTGTTTCATTTTTAACTTTCGACATCTGTTGTAAGTTGATACCGCATGGCGAACAGAAAGAAAATCCTCTGCATTTCGTGACTCGGTGTTCCTTTAAGGTAATAAAATCACTGCTTGGGCTACACGGTAGAATTTTAATAAGAGTATAATCTTAATCATATTAAAATCGGAGTATTGGTGTCCTATGTAAATGTACTCAGAACGTCTGGTGAAGTCGCGAGCTGTCAAAGACAGGGCATTACTCTGCCTTTCAGCATGAGCCCTCCAAGTTTAGCGTGTTTCCCCATTAAACGCAACGGAAGTGTATGCTTCGCCTTGTTGTGTCAGAATCCTTGTGAAATACAGTAATACTTTAGGACGCTTAGTTTAGGCAAATTTGATGAACGTGATCATGCATGTTGAATCTGAGGGGAGTCGCTCCAGTATGGAAGGCCGTTGGGGCCAAAATGTCTGCAGCGCGTTGTGTGTGTCTGTCTGTGTGTGTGTCTGTGTCAGGCCCGTTGAGGGGTGTCAGGGGTGGAGTGAGAGACGTATCTGAGTAGGGGCGAGAGGGGTGTGCAATGTATTTAACGACCGGTTTGCAAGAAATGATGGTTTATTGTGGGTATGTTATTTACATGAAGAAATCTGTGTAACAAGTTAAACAGAAATTCTATTAAACAATAATATTTTGAATTTAAATATTTTTTTCTTGCGTTTACATTAATTTGACATTTAAATAGGCAAAATTACAAGTTTCAGTATTTTAAATGTGATTAATCGCGATTAATTTTTTAAAAAGGTGCGATTAATTAGTTAACTTTTTTTTAACGATTGACAGTACTAATATATATATATATATATATATAACGCTTTATATATATATAAAGCGTGTTAGGCTTTATAATTTTTCAGAATTTTTCGAAATATATTCAGACAGATTTGTGACGAGTGAATGATGAGGAAACGATGACAGAATTTTTAGTTTTGTGTGAACTATCCCTTTAAGTTTGTCTCGGTGTGAACATAAGAGTAAGAACAAGCTGAAACTAAATAACCCAGAAAAAGAAAATGCCAGACCCTTTTCTTTACTTTTTAACTCTTTTTATTTATTTTTTTTATGTTTTGGTCAGCTTTCCTGCCAAAGCAGTGTTCAGTGATCTAAACTCGGTGAATAAGTGAGCGTGAAAGTCAGACCTCAGTGTCTCCAGCTGACAGCGTGAACTCTTCAGTCCCGCAGAGAGCAGCATCACTCCTGAATCCTGCAGATTATTGTTACTCAAGTCTAGCCCTCTCAGTTTGGAGTTGGAGGATTGGAGAGCTGAAGACAAACTTTCACAGCACTGACCGGTCAATCTGCAGCCAGCCAATCTGAATAAAGCAATAAAAGGGTTCAGTTGTTAGTTGTTAACTAAATACAAATACTCAGATTACAGTAATTGAGTAGTTTTTCCTCAGGAATTGTAATTTACTAAGTAGTTTTAGAAATGTGTAATTTTACTTTCCCTTGAGTCCATGTTTAGTGCAGTATTGGTGCTTTTACTCCACTACTTTCCTTCAGTCTGCAGTCACTACCTTATTTTTTCTTGTCAATGTCATTCATTAATTCTGTCTCTTCTGCTGCTTTTCTGGGGCCGGGTCGCGGGGGCAGTAGTCTTAGGAGAGAACCCCAGACTTCCCTTTCCCCAGACACTTCCTCCAGCTCCTTCGGTGGGATCCCGAGGCGTTCCCAGGCCAGCCGAGAGACATAGTCCCTCCAGCGTGTCCTGGGTCTTCCCAGAGGCTGCCTCACGTTGGGACATGCCTGGAACACCTCCCTAGGTAGGCGTCCGAAACAGATGCCCGAGCCACCTCAGCTGACTTCTCTCGATGTGAAGGAGCAGCAACTCCTCACCCTATCCATAAGAGTGCGCCCTGCCACCCTACATTTTGTCTGCTTGTATCTGAGATCTTGTCCTTTCGGTCATGATCCAAAGCTAATGACCATAGGTGAGAGTAGGTCTTGTCAATGTGGATTAGAAAAATAAGTCCTGTAATTCCTGTCCAATCAAATCCCACATAGGAGATAAATCACATCATAATGAACAACCTCAAGACATGGGCGATTATTAATCGCAGCAAACTGTTTGGAAGCGGTAAAAGTGCCCAAGAAGATATCTAAAATCTTTTCACGCATTGACCCAGAGGCTGTTTAGATGCACGTCGCTCAAGGGCGTAGATTCGCTCTTGACAATGGAGGGGACATACATCCCTAAAGATGCATAGCGCAAATAGTTTTTGCGCCTTTAAAACATGAATAAAGTACTATAAATAATATAAAATAAACAACAATACAAATAACAGTTTATGAATCATGTTCTATGCTGCAAAAGTCAGTTTACATGATTTTACTGCTGGCTTTGAGGGGGTATGAATAAAGAGAAATTTAGAGATGCGTGTGACGCAAGTTTATTCGAATTATTGTGTTTCACAATCATGGAGGCCAAATCGAAACTTAACTTCCCTTAATTGCACAGCATTGGTCAACAGTATTATCGTAAACTCATAGCAAGCTTGACTTTAACCCTTTGCGCACAAGTATGGTACTAAGGGTTGACGGAGCATTGTTTTATTTTCAAGTCGATTAAATTTTTGGTAATGACATTTCAGTAACTGGTGGATATTGGTGGGGACACGTCCCCTCCGTCCATGCCATTTCTACGCCCTTGATGTCACTGATGAAAAGATGGCGGAGGTTTACTGTAGGATGACCGCAACGGTCTTAATCACCCAGCAGGCACAAGACGTCAACATGACGTTAGATTGACGTTGTACCCTAACGTTATAGACATTGCATTTTGTTTGGAAAGGAAAATCAGGTTGAACTCATCGTCAGACCAACGTCAAAGTCCAACGTCCAACCTAAAACCAACCAAATATCAACGTCTAATGATGTTACAGCTTGACGTTGTGTGGACGTTACCACTATGACGTCTATTAGATGCTGGATTTTAGTCGCCATACCTGAGGAACAAATGTCAGTATTTGATGTCAGCATGACGTTGGTTTAAGATGTTGGATTTTGGCCACTTTCTAACAACCTAAAATAAACCAAATATCAACGTCATTATTGGACATCAAAATAACGTTGTCCTTAGACGCTGGCTAGACATTGAATTGCGATCACCTGACATCACAACCTAAATCTAATCTAATATTAACGTCTTATGACGTTGTGTGCCTGCAATACCTAAACGCACTACAGAATGTTACTGTTACGTGGGTCTGTGTTATGTAATCGATTTATTTATTGCCGGTTTGTGCTTGCGATCGAGTTCTAGGAGGAGTGTTTCACCCGGCTTATCCAGGATTGGATGATGCCCGTGACGTCACTGGGGATTCCCACTATATAAGGCTGACAGCAATGGCGTCTCTGTCTCTCTCTCTGTCTTGCAGTCTCTCGCCCTCCCTCAGCTCGGTGGTGGCTTGCGCTCAGGCGGTCTGGCTGGCGGTGCTCCGCAAGGCCGGCGATCATTCATCCAGATGCCGCTCCATTTAGTGTTTTGTTCCTGTTAATCTTTCGATTCTTAGTTCGTAATGTGTTAACTAGTTTGTTTATTTTGATACTGTGTTTTGTAGCAGGTAGGGGTTTATTTTTCATAGTCACGTTTTGTTATTTATTTAGTTTAGCGAAGGTAAAGCCCGGAAGACTCACCTATTTTTATTCCTTGCACAGGAGTTCAGGTAAGATCCGTCCATTTAAAACAGTATAGTCGGAGACCTGTTTACCTTAGCTGCCCTACCTGTCTACTTGATTTTTGTTACTGTTTTGTCTTTTGAAAACTTTTAAACTTAAACATATTGACGGAACGTCAATTTAACCATTCAAACGTCTGTGTCCTCCATATGTCCGCCTCAAACCTTGAATGTTTTTGTTATTCGAGCCAGTTTTGAGTTTGGGCCGTAACTGTTACGTTTACACACACATGCACAAATTAGATGTGCACCAGCTTTTTACAGCGTAGTACTAACACTACTCACTACTCATGAGTACTTTTAAAAGGTCTTTTCACTCATATTTGAGTAATATTTACAGTCGATACTTTAGCTTTGCTTACACTACATTTTTAGGCAAGTAGTGCTACTTTTACTTGAGTATGATTTTTCAGTGCTCTTTCCACCACTGCTTATTAGTCAAACCAGATAGTTAAAAACAAGATTCAAAATGACTGATGGTACAATATTTTCTGTCCAAAGACATAACTTTAATGTGTCTAGATGATATGTATAGTCACTAGAGTTTGGACAATAAATCAATGCTTTGCAAATTCGGGAGGCATTGCCACTTCCTCTTAAACTGATTCTGAGCTTCGTTTTGCAACCAGATGCTGCTGTCTGATTTTCAAACAGAGCCACACAGGATCCTTTATTAGGAATTTGCAGGTTGTACTGCAGTCATCCATATCTATCTAGCGCGGTGCTGTGCTGTATTTTATATACAACGTAGGAGGCTGTGAAAGACAGTGGTAGAGACAAATCTAAACAAACACACAAGTGAGGTAGAAGAGTAAAGGCTGATTTATACTTCTGCTTCAAACGTCGGCGTATGCTACGGCGTTGACGCATAGCCCTTCGCAGTGGCCATCGGCGTCGCTGACGTGCACCTCTCAAAAAAATTAACTACACGTCGCAACAACGCGTAGCGCAAGCTCTGTGATTGGTCGGCTTGGTAGCGCTGACGAGTCTGGGCGGGACCGAGAGCCGCGTGAATGGTGCGAGCCTGATGGAGCGATTGTTTACAAGTGTGGAGTCCCAGGAAGGAGCTCCTGATGAAAAGTTTTGTGTTGTGTTTACCTAATAGTTAAAATTGTTGCACGTCCGCCGGTTCCTGCCTCAAAATGAGCGAGTTTGAGCCACTTGTACATCCCGGAAGTGTTCAGGAAAACAAATAAGCAGTGAAGAAACTCGACACAGAGGAACATTTACACCTCACTGCCCACTAGCGTTTCGGAAGTGTTAATGCAGACCAACAGAGACAGCGCGCAGAAGTATAAATGCACAGCCACGCGCGTTGCATGCGCCGTGGGTTACGCCGGTCACCTGACGCGGAAGTATAAACCAGGCTTAAGACTGGCCCTGATCTCAATAGCATTGTAGTTTCATTCAAGCTCATAGATCCAATCAGTCTGACAGAGTCTCCCAGACCTACATAGAGACAAAGGCACAGCTGTGCCTCATGCTGCGTTCACACCAGACTCGGAACGCGCGGATAAATCGCGCTATTCGCATGTAAATTGCCGCGTGAACATTTGAGTTTACTCGCTTCATTCGCCCATCAAATCCGCTTCATTCGCGTGTCAAATTCACATCAAAACAGACGCGGATTCGCGTGACGGGCAGGGCTTCTGTCTTCCCGGTGACTCTAGCTTCATAGCTAAATGGCTAACATGGATTTTATGAAGAAAATAACAGTGTTTATGTGCTGTAGGAAGGCTGAAAAACAGCGTCGATACGTTTAGGGCCGTGTCTGAGTCCACTACATCCTTTCAGAGGTGCATCCAGCTCTGTGAGCTCATAAACTCCAGAAACTGAACCTGGATGACGGAGGCTTTCAGCGGTGCCTCAGACTGAGCCAAGCCCAGTTTGATGACTTGTTGTCGGTGTCGCCTGGAGGATTTGCCCCGGGACACCATCAACAGGTTCGAGTTCACAATCACGCCCCCACAAGAGCAAGCTTCTGATTGGTTAACGTGGCGCGAATCTCCGCTGAAGTTCAGAATTTCGAACTCGAGAGATTCACGCGAAACGCTCGTTAAACGTGTCAAACGCTCAATTCAGCGCTATTCGCGTCATTCGCTTCATTCGCGCGTATCGCGCCGCAGGATGTCTATTCACTCGTGCTTGACGCGTGTTCCGCGTCTGTTGTGAACGCAGCATTAAATTTGCCACTGCCATATCACCATGTCACTCAAGACTGGTTTCTTACTGAAGCCAAGCATGGCTGAGACTAGTAAGTACCTGGATAAGAGACCACATGACCTGGATGAGAGCCCGGTCCTTAAATATGTCGCACACCCCTCTCCACCGCATCCCAGCTCTTCAGGTACAACACACGCAACTCACCCCCACCGCTCTTCCAGTTTGCCTCGCGCAACTCACCCCCACCGCTCTTCAGATACATCTCACGCGCACACGCCCCTACTCAGACACGTCGCTCACTCAACCAAATACCCCCCCAAATCAACTCTGTATCCCCTGGAAATGACTTTACCCAAACTTGGGGGTGTCTATAAAGGTGACCCCATATCTGTGCCATAACACAGATTTAGACAAAACTGTGACAATTTTTTTTTGCACATAGGAAAAATTGAGTTCAGTTCAAGCACAATGGGGGAATTTTGTTAGGAGTCTGAATTTGGTGAATATGTAATAGACAGACCTCAGTGTGTTCAGCTGACAGTGTGAACTCTTCAGTGCAGCGGAGAGCAGCTTCACTCCTGAATCCTGCACGTCATTGTTACTCAGCTCCAGCTCTCTCAGGCAAGAGTTTGATGATTGTAGAGCTGAAGCCAGTGTTCCACAGTGCTTATCAGAGAGACAACATCCAGAAAGTCTGTAACATAGTCACATTACAATAAACACAGGGGGAAATGATAGCCATAGATATATAACATACACATAATTGAGCATGGTAAATGTGAACGTCAAACCTCAGTGTGTTCAGCTGACAGTGTGAATCCTCCAGTCCAGCGCAGAGTAGCTCCAACTTTGATTCCTGCAGGTCATTGTTACTCAGGTCCAGCTCTCTCAGAGGGGAATTTGGGAATTGTAGAACTGAAGACAAGCTCTTACAGTCCTGATCAGACAGACGACATCCAGCAAGTCTATAACAGGGGTGACACAAGGCTAGCTTTGAGCAACTTCACTCTAAGCTAACTTTTAAAAGCAAATGATGTGCTAGACTAGTTTTTAACAGCAGATAGCGTATGCTAGGCTAGTTTTTCCAAGCAGAAGGGGATCTACGCTAGTTTTTAACAGCAGACAAGGCTTGATTTTAGAAGCAGACACGCTATGGGCCAGATTTGAACAGCAAATGGCACTTTAGGCAGAAGGGAATTCAGGCTACTTTTTAACAGCAGCTAGCGTGTGCTAGGTCAGTTTTTCCTAGTATACGGGGATCTAAGCTAGTTTTTAACAGTAGATAGCGTGTGCTAGGTTAGTTTTTCCTAGAAGACAGGCATCTATGCTAGTTTTTAACAGCAGATAGCGTGTGCTAGGCTTGTTTTTCTCAGTAGATGGGGATCGAGGCTAGTTTTTTACAGCAGATAGAGTGGCTAGGCTAGGTTTTCCTAGCAGAAGGGGATCTGGGCTAGTTTTTAACAGCAGACAGCGTGTGCTAGGCTAGTTTTTCCTAGTAGACGGGAATCTAGGTTAGTTTTTAACAGCAAATAGCATGTGCTTGGCTAGTTTTTCTACCAGAAGGGGATCTAGGCTAGTTTTTCCTAGCAGACTGGGACCTAGCTTAGTTTGTAACAGCAGATAGGGTTTGCATGGCTAGTTTTTTCAAGCAGAAGGGGATCTAGGTTAGCTTTTAACAGCAGAAAGTGTGTGCAGGGCTATTTTTTCCTAGTAGAAGGGGATCTAGGCTAGTTTTTTCGAGTAGACTGGTATCTAGGCTAGTTTTTAACAGCAGATAGTGTGTGCTGGGCTAGTTTTTTCTAGTAAATGGGGATCTCCCTACTGAAAAAAACAGCCTCAACCAGCCTAGGCTGGTTGGCTGGTTTTAGCTGGTCAACTAGGCTGGTTTTAGAGTGGTTTTGGCCCATTTCCAGGCTGGTTTCCAGCCATTTCCAGCCTGGTCTTAGCTGGTCAGGCTGGGAGATGACGAGCTAAAATCAGCTTGAGCAGCCTACCCAGGCTGGGAGCCCAGCCAAAATCAGCTATGTCCAGCTTAAACCAGGCTGGTCAAGCCGGATTCTGGTTTTAGCTGGTTTTAGCTGGTCATTTTCCAGCCTGACCAGTTAAGACCAGGCTAGAAATGGCTGGAAACCAGGCTAGAAATGGCCAAAACCCCTCTAAAACCAGGCTGGTCAACCAGCTAAAACCAGCCAACCAGCCTAGGCTGGTT